ACTTTGATTTTACTTTTGAAAAAATATATCATTATTATCTTCATGAAAGATTCAAAAAAATAATAATTTTAACTAAATAAAATTACACAAGCTTTATAACTTTAGTAACTTATACAAAAAAAATTAATAGCCATACAATTTGCCATTTAGCAAGTGACAATTAGAAGTATTAATATATAAAATATCATTGATACTGTTGGCATTTTGCCATTTAGGTCTCACAAAATTTTAATTTCTCCTCTTTTCTAATGAACCCAAAACTCGCAAATGGTGATTACTATATAATTTTAGATATTTTAATTGTAAAAATCGTAAGACTAATATGTGTGACAAAAAAAAATTAAAAAAAAAAAGTAAATGCATTTTTATTATAAATCAGGGGACATCAATGTATTTTTCTCTTTTAAATTATTAAAGGTATGTTTCAGAAGATTTGAGTTTTCAAAAATATGACTAAAATGGTCAAAGTTAAAATTTTATATAAGTTTCAAAATGATACAAGTTAAATTAATTTTCAAACTCTATATTTTGAAAAAAGTTAGGGGAGGGGGATTTAGGACTTCAATTTAAAATTTATTTGTAAATTAATTATTATTTGAGAGTATAATAAAAATTTTAAAAACTTTTGGTGGGGGTAGCCCCCGTGGCTCCGCCCCTGGTGCCATCCCTCCCTCTCATAATTGGTATTATATCACATTTCATAACTACTTAATTAGATTCATATTTCTGAATTTTATTTTCTTCAATATATCTAATAAGAATAATATTATATTATGATTAATTTATAAGTTTTAAATTTTTAATTACATAGTATTAGTTCAGCCCCCAACTCCGCAATGACAGGACATATCTCCACCCCATTTACTAGACAAGAGTCAAGGAGCGTGTCCCTGTCTCATTGGTATCACAACATTTTAATTTTTATTACTTTTTACGAAATTAACTTATAAAAAAGGTTCAAGCATTTTAATTAAATATGAAAAGACATTAGAGTATTTTTTAATTAAATATGAAGAGACATTAGAGTAATTGTAACAACCCACTCCACCACATGGTATGATATTGTCCTCTTTAAGCCTAAGCCCGCACGGTTTTGTTCTTGAGCTTCACCCCAAAATGCCTCATACTAATTGGAGATGTACATATAAACACTTCACCTTTCCCTCTCCCAGGCGATGTGGGACTTGTCCACCCGTAACTCGCTAGTGTGGTAACCTGATAGTGTCTCTTGCACCCGCCCACAAGGTCATCACAATCCACCCCCTTTGGAGGCCCGACGTCCTCATCGGCACACTTCCGGCTGAGTCAGGCTCTAATACCATTTGTAACGCCTCACTCCACCACATGGTATGATATTGTTTGCTTTGAGCCTGAGCCTGCACGGTTTTACTCTTGGTCTTCACCCCAAAAGGCCTCATACCAATTGGAGATGACACACTTACCTATAAGCACTTCACATTTCCCTCTCCCAGACGATGTGGGACTTGTGCACCCGTAACTCACCAGTATGGTAGCCTGACAGTGTCTCTTGCACCCGCCCACGGCACACCCGCCCACAAGGTCATCACAGTAATTCTTTCTTCTCTCCCTTGGTTTCATACAATAGATATTATACTACTTGTATATATGTAAATGTAAATAAAACAATGATATAGATACAGCAAACTTATATTTTTATTTCACAAAATTTGAGATTTCGAAAGCATGCTAAAAATGTCTAAATTAAAATTTTATATGAGTTCTGAGATAGCACAAGCTATATTTATTTTTAATTCATAATTATCGGGCAATAAATAGGTGTTTTGAAATTTTGAAGGGGCCAATTAAAATTTTATATGATTTTTTTTTTCAAAAATTAATTTTATATGAATTTTGGGTGTCAAAAGTAAAGGTATTTATATAAAATAGCAACTTTTGTGGGGACATAAGAATAAATTTGAAAATATTTGAGGCGGCACTGGCCCTCCCTAGCTCCGCCTGCCTCCCTCAACTATTGTAAGTGCTATAATGTGCCCTCTCCTAATATTGGAGGTTCCTGCAACATTTTCAATAATTAAAAAAGCAATTAAAGTGCAAAAACTTGTATACATGACAGTTTCTCCTTACAAATAACTTTTTTTATATATATAGTCGAAAAGGCTTTAAGGGTGGGTTAATTGTAAAAAGGAATATTGAACTTTGTTACTTAAAAATTAAAGATTCTGCAATGTCTTCAATTTAAGAATTATTTTTCATATTTTTATATGTATCTAATATAATAATAGGATACGTTTATTAATCTTTCATTAAAATTTTAAATAGTTTTGACCCCACAGATTGTTTATCTTTCTCTAATTTCTATCATGAAAGGAAATTGAATAAAAAAAATTGGTGTCAATGGACCTAAAAAGCAGATGAGTGAAAATGTAACAAATAGAAAAATACCTGCGGATTGGAATTTTTGGCATAGCTGTATTCGCCATCTCCACCGGTCATCGGAAAAGATGCTTGCTTGTCCATCTGATCTCTCTATCTCTCTACAATTGTTTGCCTAATTTTGAGTATATGTATTTTATATAGGTCTTAATTGTTATTCCCACAAATCTATTTATCAGAGCAAAGGAGAGAGCCATTTATCTCACAATAAATGTTTCACCAATAATGTTTTGCCATCACACCATAAGATGGAATCTGCCCTTTTAAAGCGTAATTCTACGATTGACACATAATCACTTCAGTCGGTCTGTAACAAATTTAATCTTTTCCTTACATATAATTAATTTTTCCACCTCAACTTTGACCCATTTACAGGACAAATTCCACTAAACCTATCTGTAGCTTTAAAAAGTTAGCATAATACTTGTCTCAATTTTTATTTATTTATTTATTTTTGGCAATAAACTTCTTTAATTTATCAATTGCCCCTTTTTAGCCGATGAAGGACTAAAAGCCCTAAAGGAAAATTTAGCAATATTCATTGGAAAAGAATAATAAAATTTGAGATCATCCAAAAAGACTCATATCACTTCATTGATATCATCAGTCAGTTTTATCTTGTCATTTAAAAAGTTTGCAATTGTATGCAGGCTATAGAAACTCCCTCTCCTATTAGATGCTAAGCGCTAAGAACACTACTACATTGTTCGATTCTACTGTAGTCAAGAGCCAAGTTTCCACAGTGATCAATTTATTTTACTTAGAATTTGAAGGAGCAGAAAGTGGACCAGGCTTCGTTAGGGCCGGTCCACTTCGACCTGAGCATTATTGGCCTGTCGACCCACTTCAAGGACGACCCAACCAGGCTCAAAGATCAAATCTGCCATTCCTAGGCCCTGAGCATTATAGAATTGTTATTTATTTATTTATAGAATGATATTTTTTTTAATTTTATGACATTGCAAATTTTTGGGTTAATACCTTGTGCATGGTGTATGAGATTAGGCAGTTTGGAACCAATAAGTACGAAGAAATCAAAATCTAATCTACCTATAAATTGTTGTCACCTGTCCCCTTTTAAAACTTTTCTCTAGTGATCAAATTCATAAAAGTCCAATCTTGATATTAAACAATTATATGATTTGGTTCGATGGTGGGTTACTTAAATCTTTGCCTTGTGAAGTATCTGATCTGATATTTGACTTGCATGAAGGGAGTGGTATTTTACACTGGCAAAGTCTCGAATATCCTTTATCCATTTTATTAGGAAAAGAAAGATAGCACATCAGTCAAATATGTCGAGTTTGGGACCTGGTCCTTGAGTTAACGTGAGTGATAAGAGATTTGGGCTTTCTTTTTCTGCATAATCCTTGATTTTATACAAGAAACCACATCATAACAATTCAATGAAGTTGTTAATTGGCAGCTGGACTTAATTATTAGGCAATTTTGTCAAAACACAATCCAAATTGCTTGCAAGGATCAAATATTATGGGAATAATTTGTAATGGGATAACAATTCAATGAAGTTGTTAATTGGCAATTTGGCAGTTGACTTAATTATTAGGCAATTTAGCCAAAACACTATCCAAATTGCTTGCAAGGATTAAATATTAATAATGAGAAATGATAGGTCTTCGATCTCAATTGCCGACTCCTCCTTTAAATACAACGTGATTAGATCATGTTAGAAATCTTTAAAAAAAAAAAATTCATAAATTTCTTTTTCTATTCGACTCATTCCTAACCACATTGTATTCGAAGGAGGAGTCGGCAATTGAGGTTTGAAGACCTATCATTTCTCATTAAGAATTCCTTTCAAATATTAATAATTAATGAGAATAATTTGTAATGGCGGGCGACAAGTCTTGTATCCTATTATCCTATATATGGAAATAGAGAATTAATATTATTTTAAAATATCTTTCGAAAATTATTATCACTCACACTCAAAATGTTTGTTTCGTCTTTTATTCACATCCTAACCGCACTTGCAAAGCTCTGGCATTATACAAAATAACTTGAATACCTTTTGACTTATCATAGAGCTCTTTTAACCTAAAAAATTACTACAGATTAAAAGTCTAAAATATCTTAAATACTGTGCAAATTTTTACGGCCGGAGATGACTAAGTTTTGATGGTGAATTTTTTTGTTTTATCTGAGATTGAGTTTTGTGAATTATGAGTGTGTATACAAATGTACCGACTCCTTGATATTACCCCAAGTTGGCGAATGTTGAGAGGGATGTTAGGGCAAATGTACACTTCTGTAAATAGAAGTTAAAGAGATGGAAATAGGGGAATTTTTGTGTGAAGGGTAGTGGATTTCTTTCTGAATATAGAGAGCAATTTCGGGTACCTTCAGAATTATAAAAATCTTAAGGAGTATTTTGTTTTCAAATTTGCAATAAAACATAAAGACGAAGGCTGATACCAACAATAAAGGGATTAGGCTCAGAAACATCATTGAAGTTGTTTGATTCCCTCCATAGTATTTCAATATGCAAACATACTCTTCCTAACATAACAAGAGCTTCAATCATATTCTCTACAACATGAGCACCAATTACACTGACAAAAATAAAAAAACAGACATTGTACCTCAGGATTCAAGAGATACTTATTCATTTCATAAATGTAATCCAAGGAAAAGAAAAACAGATCCTAATCATTGTTTGAGTTTGAGAATAATGAATAATCCATTTCCAACGCCATCACCAGTACTAGGAGGTGGATGACCCGTGATTTTCGCGGCATATCGATCGAACAGTTGGTCTAGAATCTCACTACCAAAGTGAGCTTTCACAATAGCCTCAAACCCAGCTCGGCACTCTTGCTTACTAATAAAGCTGTCATACTTAATTTTCATTTCCTCCATCTTCACAATGCTGTAATTCCCATTTCTTTCTATTAGTTTCTGCATCTCTTGTGGCGATGGGCTATAGATGGGCAAGTTAAATAAATCCACTTTATCCTTGCTTATAATTCCCTTCAAATCAAAACCACATTGGATATATCATTATTTTTAACATGGTATATACTATGGTGCAATATTTTGTCAAACTAATACAAGTTATTAAGAGTTTGCTTAAATTTTGAATTTCAGAAAAAATAAAAAAAAAGGTTATGTTTACTGACCTCATTAGCCATGTCTACAAGGCTAGATTCCAAGTGTTCAAACCGGGGGCCAAGTGATGACTGTCCCGGAAGTGTCCCACTGTGGCGACCGGAAATCAGAAGCACCATCAACCCTCTGGGAGCAAGCTCTTGCGAACGAGCACCTAAAAATGCCTCCATGTCCCTTTCATACTGTGCTGAATAAGCCTCGCCAACTTCTTTTGGAGCATTAGCATAAAAAATCCTCCCTCTATTGCAACAAGGAGAGTCTAGGTCACCGAGCTCCGGTGGCACCTTGGAAAGCCATTGGAGTGCATTTGCACAGTGAATAAAATTGAGAGAGGCCTTGGGAAACAGTCTGCCATAGAAAGAGCCTGCTACTCCACAGGCGAAGTATTGCCTGTCTGTTGGAAGGTTTTTAAAGAGGAGATTGTAGTCATTCTGAACATGGTCATTGAAGAACACTTGAAATTCCAAGGGGCAAGAAATGTGACCCTCCACTTGGTACTTGTGTTGTATGGCTTCTATTATATCGTTCACTGAAATGAAGGTGTTGGGTCCAACCGAGCAGCCTAAATCAGCAATGGAAAATGAATTTGTAGTAGGCGAGGCTGCATGTAAGTTTTCACCAATTGCCGCGGCAAGCATGGATTTGGCACAATCAGCCGCCTTTTTCTGCATATATACAAAGATGAATATACAGATACATATACACTTGATATGAATACACATATCAGCAGCCATTTTTTTTTTTTTTTTTTGGAGTAGACAAGGAAGATTTTGGCATAAAATCAGTTGAAACTATTCTGAGCCAATTCATTTACCACTGAAATTTATACTAATTGGAAAAATATTGAAAGTGCTGTTTTATTGTAAATGATACACAGCAAAAATATTTACAATGGACCAAAAAAAAATAATAATAATAATAACTGATCAATAAAAATATAACAATAGAATATTACCTGTCGATTGGAATTTTTGGCATAGCTGTATTCGCCATCTCCACCAGTCATAGGAAAAGTTGCTTGCTGATCACCCATCCCTCTCTCTATAATGTTTGCTCAATTTTCAGTATAAATAATAGGTCTTATTCCCACAAATCTCTATCTCAGAAGCAGAGAAAGAAAGAAGCATCTCTCTCTCACAGACATGCACACGCGCACACACAAAATAATGTTTGGTCATCACCCCATATGAAAATATTTATGCGACGGAAGCTAGCCATCCCCCTCCCAACGGTGCACACACACCGCACACCTACGTGCTGCCGCCTAATTAAATTTTTTCATAGAAAAAAAATCTTTAAATCAGTTTGCAGTATTTTTCTGATTGTCTTACTTAAATATCCGTACACTTTTACTAGCATACTTAAAAGAATAAGAAAAATGATATTATGGCCAATCATTTTGACAGAGATGAATTGATGACGTGATGATGTTAATGTGATTAATTTTTTTGCCAACTGAACCGCCACATGTATTTTGTCTAGCAGGCCCCTTGGATGTTTTTGTCTGAATATCAAAGCGGACGTAGATAAAAAGAAAATTACGATGAATAATGAAGGATAATAAAGGTAAAATATTCAAAAATTTAATGAGTTTGAACATAAATTACAGAGTGAATCACTAATGAATAAAAAGTGATTAACAATTACAATTTATGAGTCAATTATTTATAATAAAAAAAGGTTGTTAGTGTTTGGGAACTTCATTGTAGAAGAGCTTTTAATGTTGTAAGAGTTTTTTTTTTTATTTGTTTCGCAAAAATTTTGCTAAAGTTCTTATACTATTAACATAACTATTTTGTCCTTCATTCAATTTATCAAATTTATCTGTAACAAGCCATATATAATAATAATAATAATAATAAATTGCAAAAACTATTTTGCGTTTTTTCAATATGCCATTAAAAAAAATCAACCAAATGAACATTTTTACTATGTAAACCAATGAAACAAGTCCAAAACAATGGTCTAAATAACAAAATTAAGTTATTTTTTACCATATAAACCATTTTTACGAAGTCATTTTTTTCACATGTAAATTGCCCATAAAATGATCTAAATAACAAAATTAATTCATACTCTGAAGAAATTATTCCTACAGTCAATTATTTTTCTTTCCTTATTTTTTTTCAACATAATACATATTTAACTTATTTTGTAATTGTTTTCTTCTATAGTGTTTTGATAAATTAAAAAATGGAAGGAACTAAAAACAATGCTTTACTTACCGAAAAACAAAAAACTATACTTTCCATATAAGTTTACTTTTTCTCAATTCAATTTTGAGGTTAAAAAAAAAAAATTTAAAGAAGGAATTTTATTTTCTTTATTTTATTGGTAGTGATCATCCGTCTTTTATTATGCCTTAGCCCTAGAGATTTTTTTCATAACCATCATCAAGTAAATCATATAATATATATACACACAATAGTGTTCAATTGCTCACTGAGAATAAGAAATTATATACTCATTTTTAATTATAGCCTTAGGATCTAATCCTACGGCATTAGTTAATTAACTTTTCTTCTCTTTATTTTAAAAAATTTACATTTTCTTTCCATACCATTAAATATCATTAAGGGAAAATGACAAAATTAGACAATTTATTAAAAGAAACAAGAATAAAATAATTTGGCTACTTTTGCCAAATTTGCAAGCAGCCACTGAGATAAAGTAAAATTAATCTAGAAATTAAAAATCATCATTTTTATTTTCTTCCTACACTTTATTCAATAGAATAAATTATGCAATAAATTAAAAAAACATATACCTAAATGATTTTAAATAATAGAGAACATAATTCTCCATTAGAATACTGTAAATTAAGGACTTGGAGACTGAAAACATTTAGATGAATATATAATAATATATTAAGAGTTGTTTTGCAGGACCCTTCCAAAAAAAAATTGCACAGTGATCAATCTATTTTACTTAGAATTATAAAAATATTAGGAGTATTTTGTTTTCAAATTTGCAATAAACAAAATAAATGACATAAAGTGAAGGCTAATACTAACAATAAAGGTGTCATTTGTCATTATCAGAAGCATCATTAAAGTTATTTGATTCCCTCCATAGTATTTCAATAAGCAAACATATTTCTCTTCCTAACATAACAAGAGGTTCAATCATATTCTCTACAACATGAGAACCAATTACACTGCCAAAAAAAAAAAAAAAAATTCAGACATTGTACCTCAAGATTGAAGAGATACTTATTCAAAACAAAGAACAAAAGATAAATAATATCATTTCATAACTGTAATCTAAGAAATGAAGAACAGATCCTAATCATTGTTTGAGTTTGAGAAAAATGAATAATATTCCCATTCCAACGCCAGTATTGCTTGGAGGGGGATGCCCCGTGATTTTGGCGGCATATCGATCGAACAGCTGGTCTAGAATGTCACTCCCAAAGTAAGGCCACGCTTGGAATGAATTTATGAAAACTGTTCTCAAGAACAGTTCTCAAGAACAATTTTCAGAGAACAGTTTTTAGTTTTTTTAGATTTCAAGCCTGCTTGGTTAAGAGAATTTACAAAACAGTTTCCGGAAAACAAAAATTCATAAAACTACTTGGTTGTTTGAATTTTTGAAAATAATTTTTAGAACTAAGAAAATAAATAAAAATATTATTATACACTCTTTTATTTCTTTAATTTATGATATTAACTATTAATGTGTGTGTGTGTGTGTGTGTGTATATATATATATAATTGTTGGAGGTGAATTCATTTTAATTAGTATTCTTAACTTAATAAGAGTAACTTCATCTAGCATTGCCTCTGAATAATGCCCACATTTGATTCATCAAATGAGTTCTAAGGGCTCCCATTTGTGCTGCACCACCATCAGATAAATTAAGTGCATTCAGTACACCAATATTTAGTATTAAGACGTGTGTATCATGCATGGATTGGGATAGAGATATTTAATAAGATATGTGAATCAAAAGACCCATAAATTGCATTCATTAAAAAATAAAAAATAAAAAAAAATAAAAAAACTTTCTATAAAAGAAATTGAATCCTGATATTCAAATATATATATTTTTTTTCATTAATGGAGATATTATATTGAACCAAAAGATCAAGCATTTAGTACATACTTAAAGAGAGCATACCCTCTATGAAAATTCAACATGGACTGCCTAACAAACCACTCAAAACAGCAAAGAAGCTTGGACACAGACTCTTCACTAATCACTCCCCTTGTTTACAATAAATCACCAAGAACAACCCCCTGTTTACAATATCTTTCTCACACCACAACCACCCAAACTAGCAAGATAAAATGTTTAAGAGACAATATAATTTAGCTTACATGCATACACAATGAATAGAGCTTTGACTATTGTACATGCTTTTGAAATCAAGTAACTGATGCTTGTGAGGAAATTGTGAAGTTGAAGAATGTTAAAATGAGATCCTGCTTCAGTGTTGAGAATGAGACAATTGCAGAAGGCTTTTGGCCTCAAAGTTCTTCTCTTGATGATGTATGGTGTTCCTTTTTTTAGGTCATTTGCTGAAGCTGAAGAATTTCTCAAACAACTTATGATATCATCTAGTCTCTCAATCAATTTGAGTGTATATCAGTGTTGCCTTTGATCTTCACAGATGGAGCACCAACTAGCTCTCAATTCAAGCTTCAGGTTTAAGAGAGTGGGCTTGATCTTCCAAGTCTTAAGAAATTCTTCAAGCAAAGGCAACAATGGGGCCTCTTTATTTTCAAGTTCTCTATCTTTATCTTTAACTGGTTCTCTTTTAAATATATTCATAAAGAAAGGCAACAACAAAAAATATCATAATGCCCCTTAGCTATTAAACTCAACCAAAAACATAGTGATGCCCTCTGTATTGAATTCAGATATTTAGAATCAATTTTCGAAATAAAAGATTCAACCCTAAACAATATGGGATCTGACCAAATTAATACACTTAATACTAATGCCAAAAATGAAATTTTGATATCTGACTTACAAAATAATACTAAATTCCCAAATATAAAATTATAATGTAATATTTCTATCAACAAAAAATATATATATAAACTTTAGCACAAATAAAAACAAAAACAAACTAATAAATTATCTATATACATGCATCCATAGACACACACACATATAGATATGAAGTTATATAAAAATTGCTTACCAAATAAACTGACATTTTAGGGTAAAAAAAATGAACTTTGAACAAATAGAAAATAACAGTAAGTAGAAAATCAAAAGCCAAATAAACGGTGCAAATTAATTAAAAAAGTAAAAAAAAATTACCACACATGCAGCTTCAACAGAGAACCCAAAAATGAATAATCAAATACCAATATCCAGATAGATTAGGGATAGTTCAAACTTTGATGAATTTTTACTGTTGTTTCTTATCTAACCCTAATTAGATAAGATTAGAAACCATTCAAATTGACACAACCAAACCAAAATCGAAAGTTTGGACAATAAACAACCAAAGCCAAATAATCAACCCATAACCCATCACAACCAAATCCATCACGGCAAATAATCAACCCTTAACCAAAGCACAGAAAATCGCGAACAACAACAGAAAATACAACACAACCAAAACAAATTATCAACCCCCAACCCAAATCGGAAGTGTGAACAACCACAAAATCAATGAATCCAATAGAGAAAAATAGAGATTTTTACCTGAATAGAGAGACAATCGCAGGAAAAAAATCTCAGATCGACTTTCTTGTCTAAGAGACAAGCTTCAAGAAACTGAAAGAGAGGTTGAAGAGAGACTTTGGCTTAGAAATCTGAGAGAGCGCTTGGACAGGGACGGTACAGAGGGCTTCTTTGGCTGAGGAGATGATGGAACCAAGACATTCGTTATAAACGAGATAGGGTTCCGTCGTTTTTTAAGTCAACTTTTGTTCTCCGTGTTTTCATTATGTGGTCTCCGAGTTTTTGAAAATTGCCAAAACAGCAAAAAGGTGTTCTCTAAAAACTGAGACTATGAGCTCTCAGTTTTTAAAAAATTGTTTTGTGAAAATAGATCCAAGTAGAACAAAAAGGCA